TACGACGAGATCACAAGCTTCGTCGATAGTGAGCGAACGCGAAGTTTATCGAGAGACGACCGTTGCAAAAGATGTGTTGACTTTTATGTATGAGTATGGTATTGTGAATTTCGAAGGTGATGAGTAATAATTGATGTTGTTGATCCTGTATCGGAGTGTCGGCTTCATAGCCGTCTACTTAAGTAACCACGATTGACCAACCAAAGGCGGATGCGTCTGTGAACAGGCACATCTCGGTATCTTCATGTGGATGGCACAGTTGGACAGCGCTGAGCATAAGTTCTTTGACTTTGTCGAAACGTGCTTTCTCCTCATTTGTTAGGTCAATCGTGATGCTTGACGCGATTCGTTTCTTCCGTTTTATTCCTGTCAACGCTTCCGTGAGTCGTTGTTGCAAGGGATGGATTGTCTGTGCAAATCCGGCAAATCCGATCAGACTGTCGCGTATCCAGTTGGCAGCGCAGATAAATTGCTGTAATTCTCCAGCAGTCGATAGATAAGGAATCTCGCACAACACCTGGATTCGCTGAGGGACTTGACGCACCCCAGTCCCGTCGATGATCCTTCCGCACCATTGGACCTCTTGGCACAGTAGCCTTCTCTTTCTTGGATTGAGGCGCAGTCGGTATGTTTTGCACACTTCGAACACTTGACGCAGTACTTGGACGTATTTCTCGAGGGTGTTTCCCCAAATGAGAATGTCGTCAATACAAATAAGCACGTTCTTGTAGAGTAGATCTTTGAAACAGGTGGAATGGTGTTCTGGAAGAACAACACTGAGTCGCAGTGTCCTTGCATTACCCTCGTTGGGGTCAGAACGCGGTAGCCAAGCATGAATGATGGCAATTCTTGAGACCTGGGTGCTTGGGTGCTAATAGCAGCTGCCAAAAACCTTTCGTAAGGTCGAAAACGCTGAGGCACTGGGCACCTCAGATACTTTCTAGCACTGAAAACTGGAACGGCGTCGCGCCAGCCAACGGGAAGGTCTGGCTGTTGATGATCCTTAATCGATTGTCAACCGAAAATGCTGCAACAACTCGTCAGTTGTCCATTTATCGCTGGTCTTCACGAGCTTCTGCCTTCTGGCTTCATCACCGGGTTGACAGGGCTACAGTGTGCGCTTGAGTTGTTCACGTAAATGACGTTTTCTTGTTCGTGTTGCTTGCCGAACGCTTCGACAAACATGCTCGTCAGCGAGTTCATTTTGCGCGGCTTGCAGCGATGGCATCGGACTTGAGACGGATTTCCATCGGATCAACGTCTGCTGGCGGGTCTGTGCCAAGGAACTTGCTTCGCCACATCCCGCTCGCTGCTGCTGCTATCACCACCATCTTCAACTGGTCTCGCTGGACTGCATCGCCCGCGACCAAAGTAGGATTGGTCTTCATAGCCAGCTCGAACAAATGCTCGGCAGCACTCATGTCTTCGGCATCGAGCTGTTTGTTCATATCGTGCAAGTTTCGCACACATATATCGAACGTGACATATTCGCTCTCATTGTGGTCGCCAATGCCATCGCCGTCGCCTTCACCTTGCCGGACTGTGACTTGTTCGAGCAGCTTGGACATGTCCAGGCCAATGGATTGTGGCAGGTGCTTGCTGACAATTAGTTCGTCGTTCGAGTCGACAACATAGCACCGATATTTCCCAGGCAATTTGACCTGACCGGCGGCCGTGTGCAACGTGACACTCAGATCGACGGTCTCCGTGAACGTAATCGATGTCTGTCCGACGACTTGTCCGATCCACGGTTTGGAGAGCAGCTCAGGTCGGACTGTGTTGTCCAGGACCTTGAGTGCTTCTACCATTGTCATTGTTCGTGGCGGTGCCCCGAGCCCAACTCCACGAGCTCCTGTGTGTGAAGTTGGTGTTTGGGACGATTGTGTTTGCACGTGTGATGTCCTAGTTCAATACCCTGGGCGCCCAGGTTCAACGAGTGCCCAGGTTCAACGAAGTAGGGCAGGGGCAAGCGATTGGATTGATAATCGATCTCACTTTTGGATTTGTCATCGAGGTCGCCGTTGTGAACACGGCAAGCCGTCGGTTGCGAACACCGGCGCAAGACAACAAAGAATTCTTTAGCTGTCTTTGGACACGCTA